AGTGACTGCCACCCCCAAAGTTTATGGTGGCATGGTCTCGACAAAGCGTAGGATAACGATAATGTGGAAATGAGTTTTTCCCATTTCTTCTTTCCACAGCCAATGCCAACATGTGGCTAAGCTGTCTCTCCACACCAGTATGCTGTTGCAATGATACACGTGGTTCCACGATACCTAATCCCATTTAGACGTGCAGCTAAGGTCGTGTCGCATGCAAAAGTCAATAGAATCCGCTCTGCAATTCCAGTCGCATAAAACCGGAGAGCAATGTGTGCACCGGAGTTATTGAACTGTTGTTAGTGTGAGGAGATTTGTGAATTTTTCTGGGGCCTCCATCCTGTAAATGAAACTAATCTATATATTTGTAATGCACTACTCATAAGGTTGCTGAAAATCCGTCGACAGCCCACGACCGGTTTCGCCCTTCTTGGGGCACATCAGGTAGGTGCAGTCCCCGGGTTTCCATCAACCTTATGTTCTACTTGAAACCAAATTGCACGAAATTAGCGAATATACGCTCATTTGCAAACTAATTTGGTTTTTCGAAAGACTCACCTGGAACCCAGCTGAATCTCTCGTTTGTGATGTGATCTATGCTGATAGGCCGAGAAGCACTGTACAGCGGTTAAGTGCTCAAACTACTAGCCGGGAGGTCGCGGGTTCGAGACTCTCCAGAGTTTCGCGAGATGCGCACTGCTTATGCATCCCAATGAGGATGAAACAGGTGTACACTGCTTCTCGACTTTTCATAGATTAGCTTCACATACAGGATGAAATCTCCACAAGAATTCCCAAATCTCCTCACACTACCAACAGTTTACAAGTAGCTCAAAGGAAAAATAAACTTCACCCGATGAGTGAAACTCTCATCTGAGAAGTTGCTGCTCGAGGAGCCAGTCAATAAGTTTGACTGCGTGATGTGGATCCTGTGACTGAAGGATGAGCGGCGCTATATCCTGTCTAAGTGTGCGTTAATCAGACTGCTGATCAGTCTCTCGTGGCGGAACGGTCAAGTGTTCATTCGCACTATTAGCCAGGAGGTCACGGATTCGAAACTCGCGAAGTTTCGCTTCCCAATCAGGGTGGAACAGTTGTACACTGTTTCTCGACTTTTCAACATATATTAGCTTCACTTACAGGCTGAAATCTCCAAAGTTACTGAAATCTGATAAATGCTTAGCATGCATGGAACAGCGATCGATAGAATGAGCTAAGATCATTCGAATGTGTAAGTAATAGTTCACACGCTCCTTTGCGAGGAAAGGACAAGTCGCCTGGTAGACGCGTTGTAAGGGAAAGCAAATGTAATGTGGAGTATTCGTTGTGTACTGACGCATTAGTAGCAAAACGCGGGAAAAGCCCCAAATTTTTGTGAAAACATCGTAAGACTTGGTGGTATAGTGAAAGAACTAGCGTGCTGCTAATTCGACCTCTCGGATAATCCGTAGATATGTTGTTTCAGTAGTGAAAACTGTGTCTTAATATTGAATGTTGTCGAAATGAGGATGACACTTATCAGATGTTCACAGCAACGAATGTGCCATTTTGTCAGACTAATACTCGTCCCAGAGAAACAAGTCTTGTCACATCATGCCATTGGTCAAAATCGGTTTGACCAATCAAGATCCAAAGTCTGACAAACTGACTTGCAAATTAATTCAGTGGCAAAGCAAACAATCTCAGCGATGCACGCTAGCTAATTTACGCACAGACACGCTAATGTTTACAGTACTTCGTGCCTCGTGTGTATGGAAGCATGGCCTCACATGCTACTGTGCTCAAATAAACAGACACTTTCCGACAAACACACTCACTTGCATATCAATTCGGTTGTCTCGAGAGACTCAACTAAATCCCTCCTCTGTGATATTCTTCAACTGAATGTGCTGCGCAAGGCCACCTCATGTTTCAGATGGTACGATATTCGAGATAACGCAGTATATTTTCATAAAGGAAACTACTCACAAGGTTGGTGAAAACTCTTCGACAGCCCACGACCGGTTTCGTCCTTCTTGGGGCTCATCAGGTAGTCGCAGTCCCTGGGTTTCCGTCAACCATATGTTCTACTTGAACCCAAAATGGACTGATTGTGACAGTTGCAAACAAATTTGGTTTTCACGGAAGACTCAGTTGAACCTCTCGTTTATGATACTCTTCAACCGAATGTGCTGCACAAAGGCCGCCTCATGTTTCAGTTGGCACGATATTCGAGATATCGAAGTAAATTTTCATAAAGGAAACTAATTTTTTCAAAAAAGTTGGGAAATAAAGCAAATGAGTTGACGGAAATTGATTCATGTAGGAGCGACTTTCATAAAGTGGTCTTCTTTTTCAAACACAGAAAACAAAAAAATTACCAGCTGATCGTCGGTTGAATTCGCTGTAGAGCACTACGCCTCCATTAACATCCTTGCGTGTGTGGCACCTCCAGGCACGAGAATCTTCGTATTCTCCATATTGGAATGGTGGCCTTCGTGTATGGAAATCGAAGAAAGTGAATCATGCATTCTTACGGCTGTCTTGTGTTGATACCTCCGAGTACGTAGTCTACTTTCGGTTTGTGTAATGTCTTGTTGGTTGCATTCACCACATTCTGTCTGGTCACCTTGTCTGGTTTCATCCTTCAGAACTCTGAAGCCAACCCACTGAAATCCCATGTGGTTGTGATACACTTGCTGTCAATTCAGATACGTTCTTGGTGTAAGGGAGCGTTATGCGTTGCTCTTGCTTCCTTCCTCCTCGACAATCTTAGTCAGATAAAATTCCCAGACAAATCCCAGACAAATGGTTTTCTTCCTTTCTTCTCAGTTCTGTTTTGCCGCAATGCGTGTAAGTTCAGAATACGTGGATCTTCCGTTATTATTATTGGTTGCCCTGAACAACCACCAGCATACAGCTCCTCTCCGCCTCAATACAACGAACTGAGGAGGTCATCCAGACTGACAACGATAGGTCTTCAACAAAATTGCCAGATTCAGTGAACAACTAAGCCAGTAAAATGACACGGATAACTTTGCAGAAAAATTAGCGCATACTTAACCTACTTTAAAATGAGGCCTTAAGATCTGTGCAATTTTTCTGATCTGATGAAATAAAGGGACTCGCTACCTCCTGTTGTAAATCAATCTGTAAATCATCTAAACAGGCTGAATACTCGGGTAGCACTTATCTAGAACTGTGAACAAAAGTCACTACTTATAAATTAACGGTAGTGAGAAAACGACATTATTTTGATCAGCCTTCCGCAGTACAGTAATAGTGCGGTTTGTGATCAAGTCAACATTGGTAACAACACACACTATCTAAAAATTAGAAAAACAATGAGGCGAAATGACGGTGTACACCAGAATGTCATTAGGGAAGGTTACGAATTTTCGGAATTCAAAACTTTCAAGGTCACCATCTAGATAAGGAGTTTGTCATCAATGAAGTCACCGGGACATCTGTGTAAAACTGGGATGCTGAACGCCTCTGATCAGTCAGATGTAGGAAGAAGCACCAAGATTTTGAAGTATGCTGAGGGATCTGTGCCCAAGACCTAGATCTACTTCAGGCTTTCACCTACCCATGGGAGGTATTCTTCTTCCAGTTCACGAATGTGCTCTCAACTGTCTAACTCCGAAAACAGGCATCTGACCCTCTCTTTTAAATTGCTTCTTGTAGAAAAGTCAAAGAATCCAATAAGCGAACCTTCAAGAAACTGGTTCCGGTAGACGATCGTTGGCTTTAGGCGATAAGACTGACAAGATATAGTCAGCTAAACTGGATCTCTATACAGTTGGTTTAAGAAAGAGATACGCAGACTAATGTTTGAATGCCTAGGTGTGACCCACTGCTGGCCACTTCCGAACAGCCTTCAACCACCGCTTTCGAAAACGAAATGTCCACCGACAACCATGCCGATGATCAGAGTAGTCACGGGGAAGTCGCGGGAGCCGCCGGTTCGAGTAAATACGAACACTTCCGCGTGTTTGATTAACTTGCCCCGGTCATCTCCACTAGAGTAGCCTTCACTCATTCTCAATTTCACCGTGAACAATTCATACCCAACGAATGAGCTCTACCCGAACTCCGGAAGGCGCTCGCACTACAAGGTATGGTTCACCTTTTCCTAGGGCACTAGTGCGTCCCTGAGTTGCCGGTGGAACTCATTTTGACTTATTTATTAGTATTATTGTTATTATTTTGACTTTATGAATATGAATATCAGTGGTATGAGAATGATGGAGTAGGAAAGTCACATTATTTACAAGTTTATTGTTCAGTAATTTCGGGGGTCTACAAGCACTGATTACTTACCTATGCAACACACTTGGCGCGAAAGCCCTGTCAGGCTATGGGATCAACCGAGTTTGTAGGCAAAGTGAGAAACCAGTTGCCATCACTTGGAGAGTTGTCCAGATTAGTGTTCATGGTGATCCTCATAACCCAACTATTGATGGGTATTTCAGCGAACGCTTGACCTATTGCGGACGTCCGAATTGCCACTCACGAATTTTTATAATTGGCGCGTTGTATTCTCATGGCTGAAATTTTTTACCGTGTATAACAATGGCGGCTGGTAGCGGCCGGTCATTTTTTACCAAAAATAGTGAATACATTGTTACTATTAAATCCTAATACACCGATTTATTAACATGCTTTATAATGAAATAATTGGTGGTGTTTCGTACCCACCCACTCCCCCTCTCACGCAAAAGCAGAATTCAGTCACAGAAATTCCACTTCGTAATAACTATCATTTTTGAAGTGGCCAAACTCCCTTGTCCAGGGGCCCCCAGTGTTAAATCAATCTCATACACCCTACGGTCAATGGTCACCCATTTTTCCTGCATCCAAAGTCACGAGGATGTCACGTGATATCGACCGATTCAAAAGGCAGTTCTTAAATAAATGACGTTCGTAAAGACGTGTGGAATGAGGTAAAACAAACAATGAATATCGCCGTGCCACAGACAGAAGAATACGCAGATATCACCAAATTAGTGATAGATGGAGAGATGGATGTACTGTCACGGAAACTTATGAGATTCCCCCATCTGTGTCATCAACAAAACGAATATGGAGATTTTATCGCGCACACTGCTTGTCGTTTCGGTCGTAGTGAGGTTGTGATGCTCCTCGGCCGATTAGAATATGACTTTGATTCGGAATACAACTCAATGGGGTATCTGCCCATCCACACTGCCTGCCAGTATAAACAAATCGATTGCGTACTCGCCCTTCAGTTGTGTGGTGCCGATATCAGTGCTCCAACTGAGTCAGACAAACTCACTTCAATGCACATCGCATGTCGGTTGGGCTATATGCCGTTAATACACGCGCTTGTACGGGCCGGAGTAAAGTTCAACACACCCGACGCGTATGGAAACACACCGTTGTCCACAGCAATCGCGCTAGGTCATACTAGTATTATTGAAGTTGCTCGTAGCCAAATGGACTTTACAGAACAAGCAAAGCAGTGTATTCGGAACTTGCTCAAATAGCACGAAAGAAGGCCTGCTTCTTGAAGGAAACTAATCACAAGGTTGCTGAAAACTCTTCGACAGCCCCACGACCGGTTTTGCCCTTCTTGGGGCTCACCAGGTAGACGCAGTCCCCGAGTTTCCGTCAACCTTATGTTCTACCTGAACGCTGCTTCTTTTAGTTCGAAGTTTTGTACTTAACCATTTACTTTTGGAAACAATTATTTCATTAACACGTGTAGCCTTGAAACGATGACGGATTCAAAAATTATACTGAAGCGGTCGTGGAGCAAAAGCAACTCCATAAAGTTCACGTATTCAGCCCTATCAGAGTTAAGTTCTCCCCACTTCCTACTTCGAAACTACTGACTGGAAGGAGTGTGGTCCGAACCCAGACCCACAGTCTCGACTGCTCCCGTCTAAGCTTGGTTAGCGTGACAGTTACGTACTGAGAGTTAAGGAAACATAAACGATCATTCATCATCATCATCATCAACGACAGCATGACATCAGTGCTCAACACCGACGCTTCACTGCCGTACAGCCATGATTTATTTGAAAGCCTTATTGCAAGGAAAAGAATAAAGGTGGAAGGGGAGGGGACTTCGTGCTAGCTTAACACAATCATTCCGAGGTGCCTACACCTCCAGACATTCACTCAGGCAATCTGGATAGAAACTGACAACAAGAACGCCACTGACATCGGTTGGCAGCCATATGTTGCAGTGTCTCCAACCAGACACAGTGAGGATCACGCGGTCCCCATCCTGGAAAACGAGTAGCACCCAAGCGTTTCGTGATCTCCTTCGTACTCCTCTGCCAGGCCAGGGGTTGGCCTGACCCTGATGTCTACAGGGTGCTAAAGGGCATCAACGTAGAATATAAAATGGGTTTTCAGCTTTCTTGTTCTTATGAAGCATAAAAACGAATGTAACACTATGTTACATGCCCTAGGTTGGGCGATATATTCCGTGACACGTGCAAAAGCTATTTGGAACGTACGGGCACAGCTAAATTCCCATTGCTTCAAAGCAAGAAGCGTGCACTGTGATTTCTTCAGTCGCCCCTTAGATGAGTTATTTCGGTAATTAACTTGTATATCATTAAAATACTAGTGTTCAACACGATTTAGGCTCAACGCTGATTATAACGAGTAACCGTGTCATCTCACAACCGGTGTCGATCCTCTCAAAAGTAAAACCGTTTTGCGGTTTGGTTTCATGCATTACAGACGGTACACTGAAAACACATGTACAGCGAAAAGTCTCGCAGTAACTACTGGACATTTACCGTTAGACGTGAGGGA